TGTGAAGGAGAACCACTGTGCACGGGACTGTCTACACCCTAGGCATGTGCTTTTGCCCCAGTCCTTGTCAATCTTCCTTTCTCTGCTCTCTGCCCTTCCACGGTGCTGTGTGGTTCACCTACATCTCCTTGTCCACTGTACTTCTCTTTCCTGTACACCAAAACCCACAGGGTCTGTGCTGAAAAGTCGTCTTCCTCATCCTGCAAAAACACACTGTGGGAGACGAGTACACATTTTCTCCCATTGCTGAGATCTTCACACTGGCCTGCCCACCTCCAACCATTTCACCTGAACCAGAGGGCGGCTTCCTTCCATTCACTCTGGGATTATGTCACCGCCCCGCACAGGCCCTGCCAGTGTTGCTAGTCCCTGGATGAATCCAGCCTCTGTCAACTCTGTCCTTCTTCCCCAGGGAAATCCTGCTCACTGACATCTATTCATGGGTCCCTGAAATGGCCTTGCTTCTACCTCTGTATTTGTTTCCAGCCTAACGTACCCTTTAATCTTGGCCACCTCTCAGCTCCCAAGAGAAACACACAGCCTGGTCCGTGCTCATCTTAAGCTGCCTACCATGTTAACTAGCCACTGACAATTTCAGCTATCTTCTCAGTTGTGGGTTTTCGATGATCACACACTGAAGTCAGACAATGTGGCTTGAATAATTTTGATCTGGGTGGGGGCGTCTTTATTCTTTCTCTTGGACATTTTTGATCTGGGGGGGTCTTTATTCTTTCTCTTGGACATGGTACTCACAAGTTTGGGTTAACAAGCATCTGTACTTAAAAGCATCGTGTGTTTGAATTGCTGTGGTGGAGGTTACACGCGTCCATGCTATACGGTCCGCTTGTCTTTTATCTATGTTGTTAGTGACCATCATAACATGGCCGTATGCCCTCCACATGGCAGTGTCTGCACTTCCTCCGGGGTGTCTCCTCTGTGTCCTTCAGCACTTTCTGCTGCCGTGGTCAGGGGCACACAGAGACAAGGATTTCCTTTCCATGAAGTAGTCACCGTTATTCCTGCGAGGGCTTCCCACCTTCAAGTCTGCTTTGCTGACTAAAAGGTACACTACTGCTTGCTTCTCAGCATTTGTCTTATGTCTTTTCTTCCCCCTTCTTTGGATTTCAAGCTTTCCATGTCACAATTCAGGTGCACTGCACATAGCAGTGGAATTTTTTTTTAAAAAGCAAAAGCTAGATATTTTAAAAAGACAATTTTAGCTGAATGCTGGTAGCTTACACTTGTAATTGTAGCTATTCAGGAGGTTAAGATCTGAGAATCTCAGTTCAAAGCCAGCCTGGGCAGGAATATCCATAAGACTCTTTTTTTGGGGGGGGGTCTGGTCGTGGGTCCTGAACTCTGGGCCTGGGCGCTGTCCCTCAGCTCTTCAGCTCAAGGCTAGCACTCTACTACTTGAGCCACAGCACCACTTCCGGCTTTTTCTTTTTGCTTATGTGGTGCTGAGGAATCGAACCCAGGGCCTCAGGCATGCAAGGCAAGTGCTCTACCACTGAGCCACCTTCCCAGCCCCCATAAGACTCTTATCTCTAATTAATCACAGAAAAAGCCAGAAGTGGAGGTTATGCTCAAGTGGTAGAGCACTAGCCTTGAGCAAAAGGAGCTCAGAGATAACACCTATGCCCAGAGTTCAAGCCCTAGGACTGGGGGAGTGGGGCGGGGAAGAGTCTAGTTCAGTGACTTACTCAACTTTGGTTTTATATCTCTTTTCAGTGTCTGTCTTTCATTCTTTTTCTCTGCCCTCTCCTATTTCCTCTCTCTGATTAGTACAATTATCCACGTAGGTTCTCTGGCTTTCTTTCTTTCTTTCCTTCCTTCTTTCTTTCTTTCTTTCCTTCTTTCTTTCTGGCAGTACTAGAGTTTGAACTCAGGGCCTTGTACTTTGCCTGTTGAGTAACATACCCCCAGCCCATTATGCTTTATTTTTCTGATAGGGTCTCTTGTTTTTGCCCAGAGCGGGCCTCAGATGGCTATCCTCTCCCATCCCTGCCACTCTCCTAGCTGGGATCACCGGCCTAAACCAACACAAATCTTATTAACTAGTACGATTCTCAGAGTAGTTGAGTTGTAACTATTGACTTTCGTTTTAATGTATGCATTTTTTTCATTTTTAAAACTTCTGTGTGATTTTTTCTTCAATTCTGGCTGTTCTATTTTATTATTACTTGTCGATCCCTTATTAAATATTAAAAAGCAGTCCTTGGATGCTCCTGGGCCTTAAGTATCTATTCTCCCAGACCAGTCTTATGGTTTGGGGTTTTGGAGACAATGTGTAAATTTGTACCCAGTTCGTTTGTGCAACAGGTCTAGGGTTTTGCTATCTTGCTTATAATTTTCTTTATGCCTCATCTCCTCCCTTTGTCTCCAGCATCTGGTACTCCTCACTTCCCTTAAGTTCTTAGTTATACAGCAAAGACCATTTTTGTTGCTTGGTTTATTTGCATGAATGTCAGCCGAGTTTATCACATCACTGAAAATATTAGCGGCAAACTCAACTTCTTGTAAGAGTGGTGTCACAAATTGTGTTCTCCACAGAGACTGGCACAATGGGAGACACACAGTAGAGGCTATGAGTAGTGAATGAATGGGCAAATAAATGAATATGTGAATGAGTGAATAGGTAAATAAACGTGGTGTGTGGGTGAGCAATTAAATAATTAAAAGAATGAGTGAAAAACTGAGCAAGTGAATAGAAAAGTGAGCAAGTGAATGAGAAAAGTGAGTGAATAAGCAAGTGAATCAGACTGAATGAATGAGTGAATTAGCAAGTGAATGAGTGAGACTGAGTGAATGAGTGAATAAACAAGTGAATGAGGGAATGTGCTTGAATGAATGAATATGTGAAAGAATGAGTATAAAAATGAGTTGTGAGGGAGGGGGGAAGCTGGGAAGGGATGTGAAGGGTAAACAAAGGAGGAGGATGCAATGCTTGGTAAGAAATGTACGCATTATCCTGTCCATGCAATTGTAACCCCTCTGTACAGTATGTTCACAAATAAAACAAAATTAAAAAAATGAGTTGTGACAGAATGGGCTGAGTGGATGAATGAGTGAATGAGCCAGTGCACGAGGTCAAAGTGGCTCCACCTCGTGTTGCCCTGATCAGCACTGGGGATGTTGTGATTTCTCCAAGGACTCACAGAACTTCTACTCATCATCAGACCACCTTCCCTCCTGAACAAGTTGGGCATAGACACCTGAGTGGGCAAAGTCTCACCTGGAACTGCAGGGTGGAAGGACCTGGACCCCGGTGAGAGGGCACAGCTGAGCCCCCGCCACTGCCCCTGCAGAAGTGGGGAGCGCAGTGGCCCTGGCCATGTTCTTAGTGTGGGGTTTCAAGGCCCCACCTGTCTCATCTCAAAGCTGTCCAAGGAGTCAATTCTTACTTGTTGATCCCTCTAATCTGTAGCCTGAGCTACGAGGGGAGACAGTGAGCAGACCTTGTCCCCAGAGCACTCTGCACAGGCATTCAGGAGGGGAGAAGCCAAACTGCAGCCCATGTGGGTTTCTATGTGGGGTCTGGAGACACTGAGTGCTCCTCCCCATTCCCCTTCCAGTCTCCTTGTGGGATCCCACTACATCCCAGATCCTCTGCATATCGTGGCAGAGACTGCAGTGGAGCCCCTGTCAGCTCTGGCCCCACACTGGGTGGGCTATTGGGCCCAGGCAGCCCTCCATAATGCCTGGAGGGCAGATGCACTCATGCACCCAGTCCCACCCCAGCAGGAGGCACTGTGGAGGGCTTATGTAACGCTACCTGCTGCTTCAGGGAAGGGTTAAAAGGGATTTTGCAGAGATATTTATCAAGATTTGCAGCCAGCAAAGGTATCAGCATAGACAGATATTAGAGGTGACACTGAGATGTGGTGGAGGAGATGGTGCCACCAAGACAGAGCCCAGCCTGGGAGTTTGATGCCTGGGGCACAGCTGTCACTTGGGGGCACCATCCTGGTGGAGCGTGGCGTGGCGTGGTGTGTGTCTGTGTGTCTGTGTGTCTGTGTGCATGCGTGCTCTGGGAAGGCCTGGCCTTTGAGTGTTTGTACGGTCGTCCCCTCAGGGTGATTTCCCCTGGATGCTGCCCGCCTCTGAAGGTCCTCCTAGTCTAATGAAATTAAGATCAAAATGGCTATGCCAAGGGGCAGAGACAGGCTCAACTTCCCCCCTCCCCCTCCCCCTTCTCCCTCCCCAGGGCCAGCAGAGTGATCTGCAGGGTGTGGAGTTCATAATGAACCCTCATTTCTGGTGACATTTCATGCATTTTCAATGCCCATTTCATTTGAGTTTCGCAACAGGGCCTCATTTTCTCCATGATGCTGAGAATACAGAGCGAGGAAAGGGTTCAGGAGAAGGAACCTTGACAACAGGGAAGATTTTAGCTTAGAGCAGGCCAGATCCCCACCCTGCATATTCAGACTTGCCAAAAAGCAAACACTCCCCTTAATACGTATGTTAGGGATTTGGTAACACAATCAGTGGTGTTATTTCATTCATTGTGCAGGCTGCCACATGAGCCAGGTAACAGACGCGAGGTGGTCATGGGATACAAAGAAACCGTGTAATGGGGATGGGAGGGAAAAACTGGGAGAGAGTGAGGGAAGGGGTGACATTGTCCTAAAAAAAATGTATTCTTTACCTGATGTATGTTAACCGTAATCTCTCTGTACATCACCTTTATAATAACAATGAAACCATGTAAGTACAGCAGCCCAGAGAGGATGAAAGAGAGATGTTGTGAGAAATTGTTCCTGACAACCAACAGACTTAGGCCTGATCATACAAGGAGGCGGTACCATGTCCCATTTCCTAGATGGCTGCTGGTCAGAGAGCTCCTCTGTAAAAGCTGGTCCAAGCCTGCCTATCTAAGCACTTCCTCCCAGACGTGAGTGCCACCAGGCCTGTGTCTACCTCTGGTCATGTGCTGGCAGCTGGCCGAGGAACGAGCTCAGGTTCAGGGCCAGGTTTAGGGCCAGGTGCTGGCTTACCTGGCGCTCTCAAAGGTGGCAGATGCTGTCTTCTCTACGGCCCCAAAGCCAACTCCAACAGCCAGGCCCTCTGAAAGAGACACACAAAGAAGGGGTTAGGGGTTAGGAGCCACTTCCCACGGAGGAACATCTGTCCTACCATTGGGCCTGGTAAGGCTAGGCCACCAGTGACGAAAATCAATGGAACGGGGGAGCACAGGCTAGGGTTGCACACCACAGCTCCGGGACCCCAAATCTGGCCATTGCTTGTTCTTGTATGGCCTGAGAAATATTAAGAATGAGTTCTTAACATCATTCACTTGTTGTAGTAGAATCTGCTACTTCGTAGCTCATGTTGGCTTTGAGTTGGTTATGTAGCCCAAGTGAGCCTCAAACTCATGATGCTCCTGCTTCAGCCTCTCAAGTGCTGGGATTACAGCCATGCACCATAAAGCCCAGCTTTTTTGTTTGTTTGTTTGGTTTGTGTTTCTGAATAGTTTTTTAAAAAACAAAGAAAGAAGAGTTATTTGTGACACCCAAATATTATATGACATTTGGATTTTAATATCCGTAAATAAAGCCTTATTGGCACATAGCCATGTTCATTAGTTGAGGAATCATTTACAGCTGATTTCATGTTATATAAGCAAAATTGAGCTGTTATGACAGATAACACATTCCTGAAAACCTATAATAGTTACTATCCAGCCCTTTACTGAAAGATTCCTGACTTACATACACAGGACTTTGTTTATTATTAGCTCAATTAAACATAACCAAAGCTGATAGATATAGTGACATCACTGCAGACACAGGCTCTACCATTCACATCACTCAGGTCCTCATAGTTGCAAAATAATTGTGCCCATCTAGCCATTTCACCTATGTCCCAGGCAATCTTCTCCACTGAGTTTTTGTCTCAGTACTTAGGTGGAAAATTTTTCTTGGCAGCTTTTCTCTTCTATTTTCTGAGCCAACCAGGAACCAGCATCCAGAATAGACAATACTAGCTCCAGACCCAGAATACAGAGACCCTGTGACCAGTTCTGGCCAGTCTCCATCCCTCCCAGGGCTGGAGAAGGGCCTGACTCACGTGGACAACTTCCTGAACTCTCCACATGCCACTGAATAAACTGGGGCCTGGTTAGGAAGAAAGCTGGAAGGGGGGTGAGACCGCCATCACCAGAATGCCTCCTTGACAAGGGGCAGCTACAGTTTAGCTTGAAGCCTGGGGATGAGCAAGATGATTCCTCAGTCCTGTCCAGGGGAGTATGTGAACTTGTTTACCAGCACCCTGTCCAAGGTCAAGTGCGTGTGTGTGTGTGGGGGGTGTCTGTGAATATCTGATAGGAAGGTACAATGGGAAACAAAGCTGGGGATCAGAGTTACAAGAACAACCTTAAGACACGGTCTGAGATCTGCTGGGGAGTTCAATTATTTCCATCAATCCAAGCAGAAAGGACAATGTCCTTGAGCCAGCATGGAATTTCTTCGGGTGAGAAGAGGGCCACACCTACTGAGAAGAGCTTGTTTTCTTTTCTTTGTGGCAGTACTAGGATTTGAACTCATGGCCTTGCACTTGTGAGGCAAGCATTCTACCACTTGAGAGCCACACCTTCTGCTCCCTTTCCCATTGGCTATTTTCAAGGTAGGGTCTCACTTCATTCCCAGCTTGACCTGGGCTGTAATCCTCCTATTTGTTGCTGCTTTCTCAAGTCACTGGGGATGACAAGCATGTGACACCACACCCAGACGTTGAGATGCTGTTGTGTGAACAACTTTTTTGCTCAGGCTCGTCTTGAACCATGATCCCCCCAATCACTGCCTGCCAAGGATCATAGGCTTGAGCTCCTGCCCCTGGCTAGAGGTCCTTAGCCAACAGTAGGGCACAATGACAATATGCCAGTTCCTGTTATCCCAGCTGGATGGAAAGCTTAAAATGGGCAGATCTTAGTTCAGGCATGTGCTAAGGCAGGAAGTGAGGCTCAAAAATAACTGGCATAGGAAAAAAGCTGGAGGTGTAGCTCAGCAGTAGCGTGCCTGCCTGGCAAGCGTGAGGCCTGGGTTCCAATCCTAGTACTGCCAAAGTAAGAACAATGATATCCTCGTAGTCTGATTTTGACAAGAGCTACATGTCAGAGAAAACTGGGACAGGGCTGTCTGAGAGTTCCAGGTAGCCTTTCCATCACAAGGAGGCAGCCTCTTCCTGTGTATCTCTCTCCGTCCCACGCCCACAGCCCAGAGGACACAGTGGTAAACAGCACCTGAGCATCTGAGGTGCCGCCCCTTCCAGCCTCCATCTTGCATGGGGGGGGTCTGTTGTCTGCACATCATGGGAAACAGTGGGTCTTTGGGGCAGAGGTCTCCCTCAGGAACCCCTGGGACAGGTGTCCGAGGCCTAGGAGAGGGGCTGATCCCAGGAGCATAGCGTGGTGCATGTTCCTCCCTTTTGGGGGGAGGGGGATGTGTTCTCTTCAAGCAACAGCTGGTTGGCTCTTTTGTTGAAGTTTTCCTCTAATTAGCCATTTCAGTGTAAATGATAGCACAGCCCAGAGCATCAGGGCTCACATTAATTAGCAAAATAACCCCTGCGGTTGTTTAGCAAGCAGCGTAAGCACTTTGACAAATAAATGCTCCTCAGCCTGGACAAGGGACCAGCTAAGTGACACTGCTAGGAGGGGCTGAGCCAGGCCCTGAAGTCCCACTCCATTCTCTTCTCCCTTGGACATCTAAGTCACTGACCTGGCCTTGTGGGGCGTGGCCCAGTGGACTGTAAGCACTGACCTCTCCATCTCTCTCCCCTGCAGAGGACTGAGGTAAAGTGAATGCTTTGTCCCCCTGGCTACCCCTGAAGCTAACCAGGCCCAGAGCAAAGGAGAGGACCTGTGCACAAAGAACAGGTTGTGATGTTTGCGCAGGGATGAATCTTCCTTTCTATTCTGCTGGTCCAGAGATGGGACCAAAAGTCATTGTCCCAAACAAGTCAACCTTGGAGGTGGCTGAACCCTGGAAGGTGCAAGGGTAAGGGAAAGAAGAAGGATCATGTTACCCTGCTTGAGATAGGAAGATACCTGAGAGCTAAACAAATGGGAAGTGAACACCAATTACCCACAGAGAAAGAACATCAATGAGAGATGCAAGGCCCACAGTGCGATCAACAGATGGCAGCTGGAACCCACCGGCTGGGAAGGAACGGAGTTAAAATGCCAACTGGAGCTCCTACCACAGGTGCTCCACCAAAAGTGCAAATTAGGATGGTAATTAAGACGAGAAAACCAATGTGCCTGGAATATTATTAGGCTGGGGTGGCCTCTTTTCACAGCTTCTACCACAGTACAGGTGCCAAGAGGGAGAAAATAAACCCGACAGTCTGGCTGGATGCAGGGGGTGCCCCACCTTCAGTACCAACTGGGAGGCGAGACTGAAGCTTGGTGTGGGGGGCTTTTCTATGGGGTCTCTTCTTGAAAATTCTGTGTCTCCTCAGTGGGGCTCTGTGAGATCACAGCCCTCCAATCTTGGGACCCTAAGATTAATTCTCTGTACCTCACTCAGACGCCTTTGAATTCCCTGCTGTATGTCACTCATTCTCCAGCTGGACCTCTGGTTTAGATGCTCCTGGTATCTGTTCTCGAAGTGATAGCCAAAAAAAGCAGTCTAGAAAATGTCAACACAAAGGCCACACAGGAAATGAGGGACGATGCTGTGACTTTTCCTTGTTGCTTTAGAAAAGTATTAAAATGATGGCATCAAGTAAGATCCTGTGCTAAATACACCACCACCAGGAGCAAGCCCCAGGGGGGAGGGATGACCTGAAGGGGAACGGCTTAGTCATTTCCAGCTCCACTGAGGACAGAGTAAGAGAACAATGCCTTCAATGGCAGCCAGGAGGGTGTCGGCCAAAGAAGAATGGTCTCAGGGAGGAAGACTTTGAAACACAACTAGCTTACAGAAGGAAGGGTAAGGTGGTCCTTCCATGTGGGGAGGGGCGAGGGAGGAGCTAAAAGTATTCTCTCCTTGTTGGGGTGACTGTGGTAAGGGGGGGGGAGTGGCTGAGAAGAATCAAGAAGGTGCCTTCCATCCAGACCCAATCTCGGCATTAAATACAGGCGTGGGGCTAATAGTAACTTCCAACGTCTACTTGTATGTACCCAAGTCCTCACCCACTTATTAAGATAGAAAAATGCTGCCGAGTGCCAGTAGCTCCCTCATACCAGTAATCCCAGCTAACTCAAGAGGAGGCTGAGATCTGAGGATCGTGGTCCGAAGCCAGCCCAGGCAGGAAAGTCCATGAGATTCTTATCTCCAATTAATGAGTAAAAAGCTGGAAGTGGACCTGTGGCTCAAGGGGCAGAGTGACAGCCTTAAGCAGAAAAGCACACAGGTCCAGAGCTCAAGGCCTACTACTGTGTGGACACACACACACACACACACACACACACACAAAGAACCACACTGGAGCACCTGCTGGAGGGGACTGGAGGGGCTGAGGGGATGGCAGAGATGAGGGAGACGGATGAAGAGTGATCATGCTGGCTTCCAGGGCACCAGGGATCCTTTCTCTGTCCCTGCCTGTGGGAGCTGTCATGAAGCTTGTGCACGGGACCCTGAGTGTGCTAGGTGAGGAGACAAAGTCACAGGACACCATGTGGGCTTTGGGGCTCATGCTCGTTTATCAGCAGGGTCAACAGATCCGGCTGCAGTGCAGTGCCATTGCTGGCCTCTGTCTGGTCCCTGTAGCTTAGAGGAACTTTCTAGGGAGCCAGTCTGGCGGGTGATAAGCAAAGAACCCTGCCCAGCTGGGCCTTGGCCCCAGATGTCTAGCAGGAAGTGAAACCAGGAAGGCAGGCACTCTGATCATATTATGTATTTATTAAGCAAAAATCTTGGCAGAACCAGCAAAAATACTGCCTAGAATCCCCATGGAGCCTGACAAAGGCCAGATAAAGGGTGGAAATGACGTCCATGATTTTCTTTGAGTAAGTAGATTTGTGTTTCCTACTGAGGAGTCCTCGCCCTGCTATTTGTATTGGACGAGTGGAATGCTGGGAGAGATGAACTGACTTCTAGAAAATGTGAATTTATTTCAAATTC